TCTTCTTCCTCCTCCATTGTCACAGGGCTCTCCTGGTGAACAAGGTCCTTCTGGTGCTTCTGGTCCCGCCGGTCCCCGAGTGAGTCCCGGGACGAGCTGCGGCATCCGGTCACGGCTGTGGCCCCGCGGGGGTTCCCGGTCGCCATCGGCTTTCCCGTGGGGACGTGGGTCGGGGCTGGAGGGGACGGCTCTGCCCGGCCGCGCTCATCCTTTTCTCCCGTCCCGCAGGGTCCTCCCGGCTCCGCCGGTGCTGCTGGCAAGGACGGTCTGAACGGGCTGCCCGGCCCCATCGGCCCCCCCGGCCCCCGCGGCCGCACCGGAGACGTCGGTCCCGTTGTACGTCCCGAGCCGTCCGCCCTCCCCGAGCCCGCCGCCCTCAGCGGCCGCTCCTCCGTCACCATCCTCCTCCTCTCCTCCCGCAGGGTCCCCCCGGCCCCCCCGGGCCCCCCGGTCCTCCCGGCCCTCCCAGCGGCGGATTCGACTTCAGCTTCCTGCCCCAGCCGCCCCAGGAGAAGGCTCACGACGGCGGCCGCTACTACCGGGCCGATGATGCCAACGTGATGCGCGACCGAGACCTGGAGGTGGACACCACCCTCAAGAGCCTGAGCCAGCAGATCGAGAACATCCGCAGCCCCGAGGGCACCCGCAAGAACCCCGCCCGCACCTGCCGCGACCTCAAGATGTGCCACGGCGACTGGAAGAGCGGTCCGTGTCCCCCCGGTCCCCGCCGACCCCTCGGGGCTCTCACCTCACATCTGTCCCCTCTGCTGCTCCTCACCTCTGTCCTTTTCCCACCCCCCGCGCCTCCCCTGGTCTGTCCTGTCTCTCCGGGCTGCTCTCCCCTCCATCCTCCCTCCTCCGTCCCTCTCCCGGTTTGTTCCTCTCCTTTTCCTGCTCCACGCTCCGCCCCGGCTCCCTCCTTTCCCTTCCTCACCTCCCTCCTCATCTCCCACGGCTGCTCCTCACCTTCCTCCCTCCATCCTCAACATCTCCCATCCTTCATCTCTCACCCACCCCTCCATCCTCTGCTCCTCACCTCCATTCTCCATCCCCTGGAGCTGTTCCCCAGCCTCGCCCTTCATCCCTCCTGACTCTTCCTCACCTGTTCCCTGCTGGATTCTCCTCACCTCCATCCCTCTGGCTGCTGCTCACCTCCATTCTCCATCCCCTGGGGCTGTTCCTCACCTTCATCCTTCATCCCTCCCGGCTGTCCTTGACTTCCATCCCTCTTGGCTGTCCCTCCCCTGTCCCCTCCCGGCTGTCCCTTCCCTGTCCCCTCTTCCCGCTCTCCTGACCCTGTCCCTGTCCCCTCAGGCGAGTACTGGATCGACCCCAACCAAGGCTGCAACCTGGACGCCATCAAGGTCTTCTGCAACCTGGAGACGGGCGAGACGTGCGTGTACCCGACTCAGGCGTCCATCGCCCGCAAGAACTGGTACCTCAGCAAGAACCCCAAGGAGAAGAAACACGTCTGGTTCGGCGAGAGCATGAGCGACGGCTTCCAGGTGGGCTCGGGGTCGGTCTTGGTCTCGGGGTCGGTCTCGGGGTTGGTCTCGGTCTCGGGGTCCAGCTCAGGGTTGGGCTCGGGGTCGGTCTCGGTCTCGGGGTCCGGCTCGGGGTTGGGCTCGGGCTCGGGGTTGGGCTCAGGGTTGGTCTCGGTCTCGGGGTCGGTCTCGGTCTCGGTCTCGGGGTCCGGTTCGGCTCCGCGCTGACCCCCGTCCCTGCCCGCAGTTCGAGTACGGCGGCGAGGGCTCGGACCCGGCGGACGTGGCCATCCAGCTGACCTTCCTGCGCCTCATGGCCACCGAGGCCTCCCAGAACGTCACCTACCACTGCAAGAACAGCGTGGCCTACATGGAGCAGGCCAGCGGCAACCTGAAGAAAGCTCTGCTGCTGCAGGGCGCCAACGAGATCGAGATCCGCGCCGAGGGCAACAGCCGCTTCACCTACGGCGTCACCGAGGACGGCTGCACGGTGGGTACCGGGGGAGCCCCGGGGGGACGGGGACACCCCCTGGGGACGGGGGGTGACCGTGGTGTCCCCGCAGAGTCACACGGGCGCCTGGGGCAAGACAGTCATCGAGTACAAGACGACGAAGACCTCGCGCCTGCCCATCATCGATTTGGCTCCTATGGACGTCGGCGCTCCGGACCAGGAATTCGGCATCGACATCGGCCCCGTGTGCTTCTTGTAACCCCGGACGCCCCACGCGTGACAGGAGAGAGTAATAATAATGATAAAAATAATAATAATAATAAAAAAAAAAAACCACAAAAAAAAACAGCCAAAAAAAAAAAAAAAAAGGAGAAAATTTCACATGGACTTGAATTTGTGTCGGTTTCTATCCAGCGTCTCTAAAACAACTCCGGTTGCGTTGCCCTAAGAGAAAAACCTCAAAAACCCTCCCAAAAAAAAAAAAAAAAGCATTCAACCCCAAAAAAATATTCAAAAAAAACCAAATAAATGACTTTTTCAAACAAAATCACCAGGAAGTGGGTTCGCTTGCTTGCCCCCCCCCCTCATTCCTCAGCCCCGGAGATGGAAAAGCTCCCCAAAGGGTCCCCGAGCCCCCCGGGACCCCCAGGACCCTCCCTGCCAGCCCCTTCGCTTCTTGCATCTCATTAGAATTTGAATTTTTGCTGCGAGGAAGATGTTGAACTCCTGGCTATAATTTGCTTTTTCCCCCCTCGTTTTCCCTCTTTCTCTCCCCTCTCCCCTTCACGTTTTTATTCGGATAACGCTGATTTTGAGTTCTCTCCATTTCCTTTCCTTCTGGTTATTTTTTATCGTGATTTTTATTTTTTTGGGGGGTTTGTTTTGTTCGTTGTTTGTCGCTGATTTTATTTTTATTCAGGCAGCAAAAGCAATTCACTCCCAAGCCGCGGAGCAGCTCCGGCCCTGCGCTGACGCCCCTGTCCGGATGGCTACCTCACCGCTCTCGGGGTGCTTCATCGTCTTTTTCACTCGGAGTTTTGGGGTTCTTTTCTACTTTTTTGTTGTTTTTTAGCTTCGTTTGGAGCTTTTCAGCCGTGCCGGGACTTTCCTGCCAGGTTCAGAGCAAAGGTGCTAATTTCCTCCCCCTCGTGTTCCCCTCTTTTTTCTCTTTGGTTGCTCTGTTGTTCTCTTATTTCGATTTTCCTTTGGAGGTTTCTTTCCCTCAGGATTTTTATCCTGGGGTTTTTTTTTGTGTTTTCGTTTTTTAATTATTATTATTTTTAAATATTCTCTTTAAATTTTGGTCCCGGAACACTCAACCCCGGGACCGCCTGGTGCTACAACCTCCGAAGAGGTCTCAGCTTGCTCTCCTTTAATTCCCCTCTGTTTTATGGTTTGTTTCCCCCCGGTTTTGTTTTTTTGCTGCTCAGCTCCGCTCGGGAATTTTCCAAAGGTGCTATTCCACCCCCCAACCCCCCCGTCCTTCACCCCACGGGCAAATCCCGCAAAGCAAGAGGCACAAAATTCCAGGGGGAAGAGGAATCCATCGGTTTTCCAGGCTGGGCAGGTGGAACTTCAGCTCCGCTCATCATCTTCCAGCAGCTTTTTCTCCATCCATCCATCCATCCATCCAACCCATCCCTCCCTCCATCCTTCCATCCCTCCCTCCTTCCATCCCTCCATCCTTCCATCCCTCCATCCTTCCATCCCTCCCTCCCTCCTTCCATCCCCGCGTCCTCCCCGGGCACGGAGGGGCACGAACCCACTCCCTTTGCCGGGCCCAGCTCCCGGCTTTTCCCGGGGTTTGTACCTAGTCTGTATCATGTATTATAATAATTAACTAATTAATTAATAATTTTAAAGTGGTTTTGGGGGTTTTCCTTCTTTTCCTTTTTTTTTTTTTTTTTTTTTAAAAAGAGAAAAAAGAAAATCTGAATGGATTTTTTATATATATTTTTTTTTTTCCTGACTGCTGAAATAAAGGCATGTGAAATGATCCAACCAACCTCGGGCTGCTCTGCGCCGCTTCTCGGGGGGCTCGGGGGGGGTCCTGGGTGGGCGATGGTGGGAATTCCTCATCCCTGATCCCGCTCTCCTCCCGGCCGATCCCGCTCTGCTCCCGGCGAGTTCTGCGCTCCGCTCCCGGCCCGTCCTCCTCCTCCCCCTCCTCCTCCTCCTCCTCCTCCCCCAGCCCCATCCCGGGGTGAGGAGGGGGAGGAAGGAAGGGGGGATCCACCCCCCACCCCCAGCGGGAGGTTGGGATGGGCTGGGGGGGGGGGCAGAGCGGCCGGGACCCCCCAAAGGAAGGGGCTTGGGGGGGGTCTGTGTCCCCAGATCAGTGGGGCTCGAGGGGAGGAAGGGCTGGGGGGGCAGCTTGGGGGGGCTCAGCTCAGAGTGACCCCCGAAAGGGAGAGCTGGGGAGTGGGGTGAGCACAGGGAGACCCCCAAAACTGGGGCAGAGAGGTGAGGGGGGGTCCCAGTGTGGGGGTGCCCCACTTCGAGCCCCCCAGGCGGCGCCCCTGACTGGTGACGGGTGTCCGGGGGGAGGAGGGGGCTGTGCCCACTCTGTGCCCCCTCCCCATGGCGGGGGGCACGCGGGGACCCCTCCCCAGCGGCGGGGCCGAGCCCTCGGTGCCGCCCCTGTCCCGCTCCATCAATGGCTGCCCTTGTTCCGCAGGGCCCCCGAGCCTTCCTCCCCCCCCGGCTGCCGGGGGGGCTCCGTCAAAGGGGCTCTTTCTTCCGAGGGGCTGGGCCGGGGGCAGCCCTGGCTGCGGGGAGGGGTCCTGGGGGGCGCCCGGCTCTGAGAGCAGCGTTTGGGGGCTCCGGGCGGGATCCAGGCGGACACGGACAGCCAGGTGAGCTGGGGGGCTCCGGGGGGGCTCTGGGAGCGTGTCCCCCCCTCTGTCCCAACCCCCGGCCCCATCGCGCTCCCCTGTCCCCCCGCAGGGCTGGGGGGGGCACTCGGAGTCACCCCAGCCTTTGGGGGGGGGTTGTGAGTTTTGATGGGGAGGGGTCGTGGCTGAGCACCCCCAAACCCACCCTCTAAATAAAGCAGAAAAGCCTCATTTCGTCACTAAAGGGTTAATTATTCCCACACCAAAATTCACCCTAAAGCGGGGACACCCCAAATCCTCCCGCCAGAGCCCGGCCGGGCCCGCAACTCCTCCTCCCTCTGCCGGGCTTTTATCCCCCCGAAACCCACCCGGACCCCGCTTTCCCAGCCTGGGGCTGTCCCAAAACCGCCTCAGTCGGCCCGGGACCCCCAAAACCTCCTGAATGGGCCTGGGTCCCCCCAAAACCTCCTGAGTGGTCCTGGGTCCCCCCAGAACCTCCTGAGTGGACCCGGGGACCCCCAAAACCTCCTCAGTGGGCCCGGGTCCCCCCAGAAGCTCCCGGCTGGGGGATGAGGGGGTCGCGGGCCCCGTCGCGGGGCAGGGGCTGGGGGCGCTGGCCCGTGCGGATGTTGAACATGGGCAGCGTGGAGAGCGGCCGGGGCACGTCCCGGCTCCGGGCCATGAGCCGCAGCTCGCGCGTGTCCCCCGCGATGGAGCTGTGATGGACCAGCTGCAGGCTGCGGGGACAGCGGCCACGGAGCTGGGTGACACCCCCAAAGAGCCGATTGCTCCCTGTCCCCCTTTTCCTGCCCACCCCCACGCCCGGCCATAACAAAGCCCCCCAAAGCAGCCCCCCAAGGCAGCCCCCAGCACCCCCACAGCTCAGCCAGGACTTACTCAGACGTCTGCAAGTCCCGTTTTTCCC